ACGTACTCACCGAGCCTCTCCAACCACCTATAACGCCCGAGCCACTCCAAACACCTATACCGACTGAGCTTCTCCAACCACCTATACCGACCGAGCTAATCGAAGCACCTATACAAATCGGGCAACTCCAAGCACCTAATATGCACCGAGCCACTCCAAGCACCTACCCACCCCGCCACTCCAAGCACCTATTGACCTAGCAACTCCAAGCATCTACCGACTGAGCAACTCCAACCTGCCTAGCCACTCCAAGCACCTACCGACCGAGCCATTCCAAGCAGCTACCGACCAAGCCACTATAAGCACGTACCGACCAAACCGCTTCAACCACCTACCACCGAGGCACTCCAAGCCTTTACCGACCGAGCCATTCCAAGCACCTACCCCCTTAGCCACAAAAAACACTGATATCGACCGAGCCACTCCAAGCACCTACCCCCTTAGCCACAAAAAACACTGATATCGACCGAGCCACTCCAAGCACCTACCCCCTTAGCCACTCGAAGCACCGATACCGATTGAGCCACTCCAAGCACCTACCGATCGAGCCGCTCCAAGCACCTATACCGACCGAGCCACTCCAAACACCTACCCACCGTACCACTCCAACCACCTACCCACCGAGCCACTCCCAGCACCTCCCCACAGAGCCACTCCAAGCACCTACCCACTGAGCCACTCCAAGCACCTATACCGACTGAGCCACTTCAACACCTATATCGACCAAGCCACTCCAAGCAGCTGTACCGACCAAGGCACTTCAAACACCTACACTCCGAGCCCCTCCTGAGGCTCCTACAGATATGATTCCGCTCTTTCTAGAAAAAATATTAAAAAAAAAACAAAAAAAAACGTGAAATAAATGTCGCGCCGATTCGTTGCATTTCCGTTTTTTACCGCCCTACGACGTGTGGGCCAACAGAGGAAGTACCCCGAGTTCCGCGATTTTTAGCGCTCAGAAAAATGACTCAAATCCGCTGAAAATTTAAGGGTCTGCAAGTTTTGTCTTGATCTTTCCACGAAAAATGCTTAAAAAAAAAAAAAAATCGTTAAACCAAGAAAAACAAAAAATGTTCAAACTGCAAAATAAATGTCGACCCTGTCACTCCAAGCACCTAGCACCGCATTCAATCTCTGCAAGTCTTGTACCCACCGTAAGACACCGTTAGGTTTGACAAAACAAAACCATGGTGACGCATATGGTCCATAGGAGTAATCGACTACCTTCATCTTGATTTTCCCATCTAGGTAGTCTACAACCTTCCGATGGTCATCCGGGTTAGGATAGCGTGACCCCCTTATATTCCAAGACTGGTGCGGTACCATATGCATTCTAATCATCGGGATTTTATCAACGTTTAATCTTTTCCTCTCATTGTCATTAAAAGCATACGCCATGGGTTTTTCTTTCACTCTCGTCGGTTAAACGACACGACTCTCTTTCACCTTTTTCTCTCATCGCCCTAATCCACTCTCTCTCCTCCTTGTAATACACTTCTTCGTCGTGGGTGACTAGGACGGGGATAGGCTTGGTTTTATCAACTATTTTCTTATACCGCCGCTTTGATCCAACTTTAAGTCTTCCTCCTCCAAAAAAAGACCCTTGCTTGGCCTGAGGGATCACACCTTCCTCACCAACTGATTGGGTGCTAGGTCGGTATGTTAAGAACATACTCTTTGTGCCACCACCTTCAGACACAATCGCAGTAAGCATTTGTACAAGGTTTCGATCGATTTCAGAGTGGGTTGAAACGAAATCCAGAGTTTGTGAGACATCGGGAAGAGCTAAGGAAAACTCCCATGGGTTCTCCCCATCGTCCTCCCCATAGGATTCTTGCTCTCTTACCAATTGTTCCACTTCCTCGAAGCTATAGGATTCAGGGTTCAACCTGTTCCTTCACTTCTTAGGCCCGGTGTTCGAGCACTTGATCACTTCGAAGTGTCCACACACTGGATCGCACAGTATTATGAACATCGTCCCATAATGCTTATTGATGATGATGGACTCTGATCGGCATAAGAATGATCGTCCCAACATCACCCCATGCTCAACCAGTGGCAACACGTAAAAATAAGACCGTACCTTTACCTTGCCGATCTGTATACTGACGTTACTGGCAGTTCAACAGAAGGGTGTCGGCCCTCCGGCGCCAACCAAAAATCCATTATCAGTGCGATCAATCTCAATCCCTAATTCTAGCGCCTCCTTTTCCCTTATAAGTGCATCTCCGCTCTGGTATCAACGAGCGTAAGATGTTGTGAAACACCTATCTTGACCATTACGTGCCCAGTCACTACACACCTGCAATCCATCTTTGCTCCCGCAGGAGTCCAATTTGCCTCAGGTGGGATTACCTCCCCTAATTTAACAATCATCTCCTTTCGTCAAGTCAGTCTCTGCTTAAGCTCTTCCCGAATTTTTGGCGAGGCTGCCAAAAATTCCTTGAGTGTTACCAAATCTCGATGGCTCTGAAGTATCCGATCCACCATCTTTTCAATGTGGATCCCTTCCTCAATCGGAATCATGTACCGTGGTTTTTTTTTTTTTTTTTTTTTTTTTTTTTTTTTTTTT